AAAAAAAAAAAAAAAAAGAAAAGAATAGTTTGGTTTTTTTTTTAGCTTGTGGCTACAGATAGACTAGAAGTTGGTGCTCTTGAATCTCAATTTTGTGGTCAAATAATAGACTGGTTACATTCAGTGCATAGGACAGGGAGGACTGATCATCTAATCAGCAGCTGTTTGACATTTGGTTTTATCATCATTGTTCAATCTTGGGCCCACTTCTTACTTTGAATATGTCATTCAAACACTGCTCTGAAGATGGAATTAATTCCTCATGGGCTTTTCTATGGCAATCATCATTGCATTATCCCAGGGCTACACAAACAGTGCTTCAATAACCCCTTTGTGATATAAGGGGATTATGATAAAATGTCTGCTTTCTAAGAATCATAGAAGATAGGGGCGTGGGGGTTGTGATTAACTGGAAAGTGTTTTGAAGTTATCTAGTACCTTGTGTTACACGGGACAGAGGCAGGGGCAATGTCCTTCTTCAGAGTAACACTCAGCTGCCTCTTTCATGAGACTTCATCTTCCTTCATTTTGTTGCCTTGTTTCCCATCTTTCTTGGGATCCTGCATTTGTCTATATTCCACAGCCTAGGTTCAAACCATCTCAGTGCCATGTAACGAAAGGCAGCAGTTTCATAGGCAGCCTTAATTTTTTGGGTGTTGCGACATTGGAGCTTGTCTTCAGGGTGGATGATTTAAATCAAGTCTATTTTTAAATCTTTTTTAAATCAACAAGCTAAAATCTCCATTTTAAATAATTGATTATCAACCTTCTTATGGCAAATTGTTTTTCCTTTAAAATATACTTTTTTATGTGTTTTAACATATTTAAAATTGTTATATATCAACTTACAACTAAATATACTTATTACAGTGGATTTGGTACTTGTGTTTTTTAGTTATACAAATGGGATGTATATTTTAAATAAACATCTATATAGCTTAGCATATTTGGATTGTTAAAAAACTACCTTTTTTTAGTATGCCATAATAGTGAAACTCTCTCTTAATCTCTAGATTAACTTTTTTGCTTGTATTTGTATCCAGCTGCAATAAGATGGCAACTTGAATTTAATTAAACATACACAACCAGCACTTCACATTTTATTTAACAAAGCTTTAATGTTTTTGGTTATAGAACCCCCTGCACATTTTACAGCCAACTAATTTATTATTACAGTTAATATTAGAAGTATCAACCGTGTTTAGTGAATTAAACCAACTATGTCAGTCACCTGAAGGAAGTTCCTCCTTGGTGAATTCTTTGGGGGTTTTTTGTGGGGTGTTTTTTAAGCTAGGACTTCTAGAAAATTTTTACCTACTTTATTTCAAGTTTTTGGAAGTTTTATAAACTTCATCCTCATTCACCTCTTTCTTTCTTTCTTTTTTTTTAACACTCAGTCAATTTTTCTCAGCTTTGAATGCAGAATTTCTAGAAAATATTCCCAAATGAGGGTCTTCTTTTGCAACCTGCTGCCATGGTAGGTTTTCTTCCAGTTTCTAGGTTTTGAAATCGAGACTAATCTATGCTCCACAGAACGCTGTTCCTCCTTTTTCCTGCAATGTCTTGAGCCAACGTTGGTCTTCTCATGCACGTTCTCTCATGTGCGCGCTCTCATGCGCACAAGAAACTAATGAACGAAGACTTTCTCTCTGTGACATAACTAAGCTTGGTAGAATTCAGTCTTTTTATTTTTAACTGTTTCAACAGATAATATTGGTGTTTGTTTTTATATCAGTTTTCAGGATTGTGCAAATTTAGGGGACAGGCAATTTATTAATGACAGTAGTGTTAAGCTTTATAAAATTGTATGTCAAAATATAAAGAGTTAGTATCCATAAATCAATATATCATACCTGCTTTAAAACATTCTGTTCAGTTGTTGGTACTTCTTCCTCTGTTGCCAGTCCCTAGGTTTCTGGGAGTTGCAGTCCAGACTATAGTCGGCACGGTTCTGCAGGACTGTTTCCCCTGTTATCACATGCTCCATCAACTTTCTCATGTCCCCTTTCTATACATTTTGACTTATTCATGGAAATACTTTTTTTTTTTGTCTGAGCGTGAGGTGAATACAACATTTTTATCAACGTTTACCAATAAAAATCGAATCCTGCCAAGCCTAGACATAACCCACAATGCTGCCTCCTCCCATCTCTTTTTTTTTTCTTCTCTCGCCCTGAAAGAAAAAAGAAATACTCCCCCCTAACAATCCATGATTTTTTCTGATGCTTTGAGGGCTGCATTCAATCCAAATAATATTTAGTGTTACACAAGACTCATCAGATTAATTCACTTTGTATTGCACAATGACTCGTTTGGTTTCATAGGGAAATCATTTAACACACTTGAATTGTCTCGAAATAAGCAGAGGCTGGACAAAGTTTCCAGCAACGATATGGTGATCCAATATGGGTTCACAACTTTGTATTTGTTGTAATCAGCTTCTAGTTAACAGAGTAGAAATGAGAGCCATTAAGGTAGGAATTGGGCAGAGAGACAGGGAGGCCATTCCACACATTTTTTTTCCAGGCTACCCTACGTATGAAGACCATCACCAATATGTGGATTTCTATGAGACCTGCACAATGAAGATTTGAGTAGGTCCCTGCCCATAGGACAGCTGCTTGAATTTCTTGGAAGAAGTACTGGCCATAGCTGCTTTTATAAGTATTCCTCTTTACTTCCCAGGGCAGGGTAACACCTTTTACAGACTAACTCATTCAGAGGCAAGGCCTTTTGTATGCTGTTACTTCATTAGATGCTATGACCGGACTTATGGAGGGCCAGCGTGTTGCACCGAAAGGAATAGAGAGAGAGTTAGCTGAGTTTGCCTGAAGTCCGGCAGAAGGCTGGGTAGAGTTGCACTTCATAGACTAATTCAGAGATGCATAATCTTTCACAAACAACAGCTCATTAACCTGAATTCGTCTGTAAGGTGCTGCTCTACCCAGTCTTCTGCCAGAAGGGAATACGTTTATTTAAATGCAAAGGACAGGAAAGGAGGGAGGTGAAAGAGTTAAAGGGATCAAGGAGGATAAATAAAACATCTAGCGCATTGAGGGTCATGGAAGTTAACATGTTGTATATCTATTTACTTCCTGGTAAAGGCACTGCAATCGATTAGCAGAACAGTGCTCTTCTGAGCAGATGCCAGGTGTTTGGCCAGAGTGATTAGGACTAGAGTAGAAAGAAGGGACTGATCCGTATACACAAAGTTAGCGAATGCTCAGGAACTGTGGAAATGAAGTAGCATCTTCCTAATGATAGACTCCAGCCCTGCTGTTTGAAGTGCAAAGAACTAGATGTTGATGAGAAGAATACTTGGTGGAGTGGATGACTTCCAGTAGCTGAGAAGTCTGTGGACTTGAGGACCAAAGGAGAGCTTCGGTAGAGTGGCATGTTCAGGCTTTTCAGAAAGAGGAAGCTCCAGGCAACTCTGATCTTGCGATTGCCCCGGTGTTGTGGACTTGATCTCTGGAGCAATAAACGAGACTTCCCGATCTCTGGCTGACCGTGGAAAACGTCTGTTCACTATTTAGTGCGTAGACTGTGCAGTTTCCGTTGCCTGAGGGTACGGCTACTTTCCTCTGTACGCTGAAGGGGTGGGCTGTTTGGTGGCTCCACGTACATGAAGATTCATGATTCTTACCCTTTTTGTAAGCTTGGACTCTTGCTGTCTCCAGAGAAAGAGGTTTCATGTTTGTATTCAAAAACTAGTTCTTTAACATCAGCAGATAAAATATTTTTATTCTACATTTTCTTATGGTGTGCTTATCGCATACAAAAAAAACTTCAATCTTCTATTAGATCCTTTTCAATCCTCCCCCCTTTTGAGAAATTTTTTTTTTGCATTACTGCATCTTAAATATGAGCTTGAGGTTCAAAGTTTTTTAAAGCCATCAGTTACCACTTCATGTTGCTGAACAGCAAAAATGCTTCATATAGACCAGGGATGTTTACTTAAAACTAAACTTGTATTTGGAAAGGAAGTCTCTGAACAATACTATCTTTTTTGGCTGTATGTAGAAAACAAGGTCCAAAAAAAGCTTTTGAAAGAGGTTTTTAAGTAATCCTTCCTTCCCATCCCTAGAGGAAAAAACTTGTAACAATCAACAGGGTTTAATGAGAGAATTCATTTATCTTTAGACTGGATATCAAGATGTACTACTGTACAAGACGACAGGTCTTGGTACTTACAGGGTGTTGAGTCACTTTTTTTCGTGCTAATTTATATATGGCATCTGAGAAATTGCACCTTTTGTATGCAAAGCACTCTTTGTGCATTAGGACTTTGCAGGTGTGTGAGGGTTTTAATATTTTTTCACATGGAGTTTATAGCCCCAAAATATAGCAGTCATGCTAGGAAAACCACACTGACATGATTGCCCATCTGTAAATCAGTACTTCATTTGCTATGAAGTATACAAAAGTCTGCAACTATTCTTCTCTAGCTATTGCATTTTATTAGAGGTTCCCCTTTTTTAAAGAAAAAAAAAAAAGATAGGAAATCAGTTGTTTATCAGTAAAACATACCAAAATATACTATTCAAAGGCTAACAAATGTTTACTTTTTTCCTTTATGAATGCTATAATGTACTTGTTCAGTCCTTTGTATGTATATTTAAAAAAAGTTTATCTACCAAACTGGAATGACTGTAGTAAAGGTACTCAGTTATGCAGCATTTGTAATTCTGTGGGGGAAGAAAAATGCAGGCAATTGCACTTTAGACTTCAATTTCTTGTGGGTTTATTTTAAAAGTTTAGATAGTCCTTTTGAGTTAAGTAATTGCCTTTCCACTCCTGAATTACTGCAATATGAATTATGTGAAGCATTTGAAAGACTTGAGGTTGTATGGCTGCTCAGCTTCAGAAGTTTACCACTTTTAAATGGAACATGGAATTTTTGTCATTAGATGCTCAACTAAATTTATCACTTATTTGTCATTTTATTGCATGCATGTACAGGGAAACTTTTGTATCTAAATAATGAAACGCTTAAGGTTTATGCCGGGTTTTTTGTCTTTTCAATGCCATACAGCTCTACATGGTGTGAATCTTTTTTTCTCTCTGATTAATTTCAGTACTCATCTGAGAAGCTGAACAAAAGTGGCAGCTTGTTCCCTTTTGAAATCAATGGTAAGTTCTTGTGAAACGGTAGCTGTGGTTTACTGAGGTAATTGGTATAGTAAGCAGCCTTTCTGTTGTAAATAAGGTGGAGGGGAATGGAGCATGCTGTTGTGGAGCCTGCTGGCTTAAGCTGGTCTTTGAACAATACTGGGAATCGCTGGTTGTTAGTTTTTTGTACTTGTGATCTGCTTTGCATAGTAAAAAGCCCTTGTTACATGTTTTTGTTCAGTAACTGTTATGTACAAATGCACAGCAACTGCTGTGTGCGTCCTCTCTCTCCCCAAAATACCACCCCCCCTTTTCTTATTGGGTTTTCTTTGCTAACAGAAAACTACACATCTTACCTCTTCACACACCTTCATAAAAGTAGGCCGTTACAATATAGACTATCTAGCCCTGCAATATTTAGCATAAGGCAAAGAATAAAATATAATAGCATGCTAGAGGCAGAAAAGGAACCCTCCACCACGGTTTGTCCTGACTTGTTTCTTCTTGTTATAACAAAAATGGGAACATCTTTTTATTGCCAAGTAATGTAGGTTTTACTTCTGATTTATTGATGGGAAAGGGGAGTTGAGATTATGCATCAGCTGTTTCATATCTTAATAAGCCATGGTAGATTTTTATTTACTCAAATGGGTTGTCTCCTGAGAGATGAATCTGCGTTTCCACGCGGTTCCCAGAGGGGACTGCAGTGTCTCGATCTTGCAATACCATACACAAAGAACAGTGTCACAGCACTTTTTGCAACTCTTGAGCAGTAGTAATTTTTCTCTTAAGACCCCTTTTAGAGCAGCCTCAACCATAAAAAATCAGGCTAGTAAATGCTAAAAAAAAAAAAAAAAAATGGAATTACAGTATTGTCTAGAAGCTCTAGGCAGGATGGTACCCCATTGTGTTAAGTGTTTTTGCTTGCTGAATTAAAGATGGTCCCTGCCTTGAAGAGCTTACAGTTGTATTAAGACTCCGCACAATGTGTGGTTGTACCCATCTGAGAGAATGAAGGACAAAGGAATTGTAATAAAACGCATATTTGCATTGGCCAGCTGTCAGCACATTCTGCTTTTTAGTTGCATTATTTTTTTAAATAAGAGCTGAATAAACAGGACAATTACTGGAAGAGCCTCCTGGCTAGGGAGCAGATTCATCTTGAAGCCGTTCGGTTTGCTACTCTTGGAGTCTTCTTTGGAATTAAAAAAAAAAAAAAAAAAAAATTTGTGAAGATTATATTTAACTGCTTGTAGAAGGAAACATTCAAAACACAGTGAACCTTTAAAATATTCCCTCCACTTAACTAGTGCAAGTGCTGCCTACTCTTGCTTACCTAACTTTTTTTTTTGCATGCATGCATGCACACACATAATGGAGAAAGGAAAAAAATATGTATTTTCTCCATTACTCTGTCCCCAGGAATAGTGAAATTTACTTGGATAATTGGTTTAAATTAGCAAAATTTCTAACCAAGCATGAAGAGCTGTTAACTAGCTGCCAGGACAAAGATCTGCTTTTCAATTTGCAAATCCTGGGCCTCTGTTGTAGTTCCTCTTACACTTCACTGTATAATGTAGGGGAACAGCTGTAAAATGTGCAAAATGTTCTCAAAGAAAAGCTACACAAAGGAGTGTGAAGCTTGGCTGGTAGACTTTCCTTTTTTTCTTTTTTCAACTCTGCATTGCCACTTGAGATAAGAAGTTGTACATTATGGGCTATGCCTGTATTCACAGTAAAATTTGTATGAGGCTCTTAAAGTGTAAAATAAGGGGAATGTTGGCCTTTAATTTAGGGCTTTCAAAGGGTTTTTTATGTAGTGGATGTGAGTGGGAGGGACAATGTTCTCTGAAAAACAATCTTAACTAACATTTGCTAAAATAAGTATCTCCCTGCTCTTAAAAATAAAGCTTATTTTGCACTGTAAAAGAGTGAGCACTCATCACTTAAGGCATTTTACATGTGCTCTGGGAGTGTGTGTGTGGGGAGGACACTTTTTTTAATTGGAGCTGCTCTGAGGCCTGCTCTAATTAAAGCACCTGCAGTGTCTTATGCATCAGTGTCCCCATGCTTGAAAATGGTGGCGGAGGTGGTTTAGATAAAGCTCAAACTTTTAAAGTGCCCCTGCCACCATTTTGAAGCATGGGGATGCTGATACAGGATACATGGAGGCCAGCTGGAGCATGCTAATTAGCATGCTTCAGCAGACTCGATTTAATTGGGTCTGCTCTGATGTGCTGTAATTACAGTGTGTCGGAGCAGCCTTCTTGCATGTCTGCAGGCACCCTTAAAGTTTAGGTTTTGTAGTGTGGGGATGCCATGTGTTTCCTTTACAAAACCTAAAGCTTTTGGTTTCATCTGTATAGGAAATATTGTTAATAATGGATGACAGGTCTTTCCTTATGGTTAAAGGAAATATCACACTGAGCTGTTGTGAGTTGAGAGAGACTACCAGATTTTTACAGTACTTATGGTGATTCAGTGCTCCTGGTCTGAGCTTGTGGGCTCTGGAGCCTCAGATGAAAGTGGCCCCTCTTGCTTTATTAATATATAATAAATAATAGATAACATATATATAAAAAATACACGTTTTAATATTATTAAAAGTTTTTTCAAGATGGCAAATGCAGTGCTGGGAGATGATAATGTTGTAAGTGAAATTTATTTGTTGCTTCTAACATGCACAAAAAAAAAAATCCTGTGAGACTGCATGGCCTGGCTATTTGTATACAGGTGCTTTTCAATTTTTTACTTACTTGACCATTTCTAAGGTGACACCCTTTTTAAGCCTGCGCTTGGAATTCTGGCAAAAACTCATCTTCGCAATTGATGCCCGGCATTTCAAATGTGTATGTTTTTGGGGTTTTTAATTGATTACATCAGTTACTCTGATCTAACTCTTCTTTCCCCCCCTCCTTTCCCTTTATGCCTTTATTTTTTTTTCAGAAGAGAGTCCTTGGAAAGCTTTAAATGGGGGTTGTCCAATCCGAGCTGAAGTGACCAAGCATTCAGCTTACCCTTTCCCAGTGTGTCCGTTTAGTACTACAACTAATGTGGGTCTACAATGGCAGCAGGAATCTTCCAGCACATCAATGGTGTCAGGCTGGATAAGTGAATTAAACCTTAATGAGAACTCGGGGCAGCCCTTAGCACCACCAACCAAGCGCCACTGCAGGTCACTCTCTGAGCCAGATGAGTTGGCCCGCTGTCGGTCACCGTGGAAGCCTGGCAGTTCAAAGGTCTGGACTCCTGTATCAAAGAGACGGTGCAACAGTGGTGGTAGTGCCACTTTGCAGCGCTGCAATAGTCATGGGAGTGCAACTTTACAGAGAAGCACAAGTATCAGCCTGCCACAAAACGTACTGTCATTAAATAATGTCTTCACTATCACCAGCTTCAACACATCGCCAGTTCCCAGACCTTCCTCCGCGAGCAGTGGCTTTGTGGACAGTAGCGAGGGAAGCACAAGTTCAAGTACCCGTTGGAATTCGGGAGGGCCTTGCGACTTTAACCCAAGGCGTCGCCTCTCGCTCTCACAGGAGCATATCACCGAGACGGGAAACCTCTTGCCTTCGGCAAACAGCACTCCCACCTCCACACCCGAGCTCAGCCGGCGTCAGGGCTTGCTGAGATGTCGCTCCCAGCCTTGTGTCCTGAATGAAAAGAAAAGCCGACTAAAGCGCAGACGAGAGGAGGATGTACGGTGGAATCGCCCGTCGTTAGACTTTTTTAAAATGACACGGGTGAGATTTTTCTTTCTTCAGCAGGGCATGGGAAAACATTTATTACGTAAAATCTATTCCTAGAAGAGGCAGCTAAAACCAAGTTTTGTTTTTGTGGGTGTACAAGCCATATTAGTCACTGTTAATGCGGACTTCTATCATTCCAGAAGGTACAACTGTGCTTCATGTACCTGACACTTTTTTCATGCCCGAAATGGTGCTCTGATGTCCAGTACAGAGAGCTGCGTAAAAACTGCTTCCAAATGTTGGAACGGAAGGTGTCTTTTAAAATGCTAGGTAAACTTTAGGAAGGCAAAAAACTTTCAATCAAATAAGCTTATTCCCACGAGGTAGGGTAATGTATACAGTCCGATATCCTAATTTGATGGAAACGTCTTGTTTGGTTTAAATCTCCACATATGGCTTTCATCATTTTGTAATTTGGAGTGAGCCAAACTATATTTTGGCCTATTGCATCTGTACAGGTACATGTGCATTAACAAAACTTTTATAAATGAATGTAACTAAGGAAACTGACAGACAGTAATGGAAATAGATGTGCTCTTTATATAGCAGCTCCAAATGGTGTCCTGGGTTACTAGAAAAATGTATGTTTTTAGATCAGTTGATCAAAAATCTGTTTCCTCACTTGGTTGAGGGTGAGATTTTTTTTCTTTTCTGAGTAAAATAGGTTTGTGTGTCTCTCTCTTTTTGTTTTTATAGGCTAGTGAAAAAGTGCCCTTTTATGCAAGGGTAGGCAGTGTCCCTAATTTTAGAAGGTTGAATAAAGTGAACCAATTTCTGCTGAAGCAAAAAATAGAAGTTTACTTCTCAGCATTGATGGAAATAATATCGAGTCCTATCACATCAGTCCTATAGGCGGTGCTGCACCTGAGGGTATCCTTGGCTTACCTTCACACCACAGTCTGTAATAATAACTTCTGTAACTTGTTACTGGATTTGGAAGGCTCATGCATTTGGTCCTCCTAATTAAAGCGAACACTGGTAGCACAATGAGGAGGGGACAACTGGAGACAGTGGTAAGGATGGATAAGCTGAGAAATGATGTGCATTAGGGCTGGTGTACTTAATTTCTCAAATAAACATGGTGAATACAGATGGTTTGGGGATATTTTTGGCCAATTCATGGTACCCATTTATTGGTGACTATTTTAGATATACAGCTGGAGAAGTCTAAGAGGCTGGGGATGGGCTGCAACTCGTAGATGTCTTAAGTCCTTTTATTTTTACATTAGGGTGTGTACACATGTATATGTGAAATATTTATATAAATCAAAAATTATACTGTGACCTAAAATAAATTTTATATATGCATATAGTACAAAGGCCTGATCACTAGTAGAGGCCAGTATTACTATATGGGGAAAGAAAAAACCCCCACAAACAACTTGTCATATTTCAGAGGGTTAGCAGGTACGGGGGCACATGTATCGCATGCATGCACATACCCTCACGCCTCTTGAAAATGACAGGTTTTTTCTCCATATATTGGCTTCCCCCAGAATAACCAGACCTGTGCAATAAGTAATAAACTTACAATTAATTGCTTGTTCTATAAGGATAAGAAATTGTGGCTTTTTTAATGGATAAAGTTTATCTTAGATTTTCATTTGTTTGTGTTGCAGAGAGCAATATAAATGCATAGATTAAAGTGTTTAAATGGATTTTTGGGGTTTTTTTGTGGCAATTTTAGTTCTTGGGTCTGAACTTTAGTCACTTTTCAAGGGGTAAGTGATTGACACTTCAGAAAATTGGGCCTTTTGAGGTCCCCTGAGGTAGGTAACTCGAAGTGAGGCTTATAAAATAATTACTCTTTTTTTTCTTTTTTTGAATATCTTACCTGTAATACAAACCCCACAGAGAAAAACCTTATAAGCAATAAACCTAATAGCAGTCTCATATTTAATTTCCACTTATCAAGCAGCATAGATTCTTGGCAATCACACTCTTTTGATAAAACTACAAGCTAGATAATCAATCAGTTGGCATGCCTTGTTGAACTACTGAAATGTGTTGAATGCCTAATACATTGAGTTACCAGCAAGTAAAGGAAGTGGCTGGTGGAGGGGTGTATGTGTGTTAAAGCAACTAAAAATATTGGTTGCCTACAGGAGGGATGTCAAACAAATGGCTGGCAGGCCAGATTTGATCTGTGGAGCCGTGTGGTTTTGGCCCTTGGATCTGGCACATGGAGCTGGCCTGGCTGGTCTGGACCAGCCCTTGAGCTAGCATGCAGAGGTGGACCAGTGGGGTGCTTGATGCAGTACATGCCCTGTCCTGGCCTTGTGAACCACATGCAAACCAAGCCCCAAGGTGGGACTGGCACATGCTGAATGTGGCATGTGGGGCTGAACTTTCCATGCACATAACAGGGCTGGCTCAGGGTGTGCATTGCATGCATCACTTTGCTGGATACATCACAGTGCGCTCTGGTTTCAACATGGCCTGATCTGGCCCACACATGGGGCCAGGCTGAGTTTAATACCCTGACTTACAGTATGAGCTAGACACCCTTGACATAATTTTGTATTGATTTGGAAATACCTGAGTTTGCTAGTTGAGTGACCAAATATTGCCTTCTATTAAGGGTAATCTCAGCTAAAGCTGGTTGGGGTGGGTACAGAAATAGCCATATAGTTGCTTTTCAACTACCAATATTAATTTAAGTTTTTGTTTAATTGAAATTTGTATACATTTTATCGCTATGATCTGGGCTGGATTTGAAGCTTAAAATGCATTTAATCTGTTTCCTGCAGTATTTTAAATAGGCTGGCAAATGTTATAGTCGTGGTTGTTCAGCTCTTGCAACTTTTGTATTCTGCGGCCTAGTTCTGGTGCTGGATCGCTTTCTGTAGCGTACCTTTTTGAGGTATTTAGATTCCCCATTTCTTTCAAATCTGTGGGACTGCTGTGCTAGAATAGGGGTCAGTAACTTTTTTTTTTT